CGCCTACAAGAACGTGATCGGCGCTCGCCGGGCTTCCTGGCGCATCATCTCCTCCATCGAGCAGAAGGAGGAGAGCCGCGGCAACGACGACCACGTCGCCATGATCCGCGACTACCGATCCAAGATCGAGACCGAGCTCTCCAACATCTGCGATGGCATTCTCAAGTTGCTCGACTCGCGACTCATCCCTTCCGCCTTCGCCGGCGACTCCAAGGTCTTCTACCTCAAGATGAAGGGCGATTACCATCGCTATCTTGCTGAGTTCAAGACCGGCAACGAGCGCAAGGAGGCTGCCGAGAGCACTCTCTCCGCCTACAAAGCTGCTCAGGTATTTCAACTTCACTGACTACCATCTCAATCTATTGCTAGACTGATGGTCAGCTCAGATGGAATAAATAGATTGAATTGTTGGAGATTTTCGTCAAATTTTCGGTATAGACCAAATTGTGTGCAGAAAATTGTGTGTAACATCTCTAATTTGATCATTTTGTGGGATGCAATGTGTAGGATCCAACTGGTAAACAAAATGGTTAGTTCAGATTGTACAAATAGATCGAACTGTGTGCAGATTTTAGATCAATTTTTTTAGTGTAGATCGAATTGTTGGTAGAATTATGGATGGGAAGCTTTTGTTTATGGATCTATTTATTCTTTGATTCGAGTGTAAATTGGATGCTTTGTGTTTTGTGTGTTTTCAGGACATTGCCAATGCAGAACTGGCACCAACGCATCCGATCCGTCTGGGATTGGCTCTCAACTTCTCTGTGTTCTACTATGAGATTCTGAACTCTCCTGATCGCGCTTGCAATCTCGCCAAACAGGTGATTGACTCTTAATCATGAAACTGAATCCGAAAGATTTTACATTTGTAGCAGTTTCTAACTTTGGTTTTGATTCTGCAACTTCCACCAGGCTTTTGATGAGGCAATCGCAGAGTTGGACACGCTCGGCGAGGAGTCATACAAGGACAGCACTTTGATAATGCAACTTCTCCGTGACAACCTCACTCTGTGGACCTCTGACATGCAGGTATTATTCATATGAATCATATGGATTTCCCCTTCTCTTTGCTTTTTCTTGTGCAATTTATTGAATACTGATTTTGACTTATGCATTGATTTGTCTTCAGGATGATGGGGCGGATGAGATTAAAGAAGCAGCACCCAAGCCTGAGGAACCAAAGCAGTGAGCACCTTCCATGGCTGCAATTTAGGGTTGAACTTCTCCTCTATATGTTTTTAATAGGAGGAGGTAACCCTGGCTAATTCAAGTTCTATTCCTATTCTAGGCATTCTTGTCTTCCCAATTGAATGGTTGACAAACTGGGTTTTTATTTTTCATTTATCTTTTTTTTTTCTCCTTTAATTTTTTGCCTTTTAAGTAGTCTGTTTTCTCAATTATGTGTTTCTGAATTGGATATTGAAGCTTTGTGTCTCTGTGTTGGGAAAAAACATCTTGGCTCAAATATCCCATCTGTTTGATCTCAAATTCTCAGTATGCCTGGTTAATATCACATATAGTTTTATTTTCTCCTCATTTTGGGTTGTGATTTGTTGTTCGTGTAGACAAGTCTTAATCAACTTTTATAAAAGTTGCATGTGACTTCATGATTGTGAAGGATCTTCCATTTCCTTTGAAAATGAGCTTGCCTGATTGGATACAATACATGTGATCTCTTTAGTAGCATCGAATTGATTGGTATATTTCAACGCCATCCTTCTTCTGTTTTATTATTTGTGATGAAATACCATAAAGTCCTTGTTTTGCTTCACTTTTTTTGGGTGGGGACAGCAAAGTTCTTTGACCGCCCATTCATCCTCAAGACTGAGTTTTGGTTTGGATGCCTAGTGGGTACGGAAATCTGGGGCCCAACACTCGGCGTGCTCGTAGTGAAGTGGAAAATGGAAACGGCGACAATATGGTGTTTTGGATCAGTTTGAATTTGTCTTAAATAATATAATCTGTTTGACTTAATCATCCCAGATCTTCGATATATTTTTATTACTCAATCGTATCAAGTTTTGATTGATGCGTACGCATATCCACCATCTCAAACTAAGACTAGGTTGCTAATCCAGTCGTCACTCTTGAGCTAATAAAAAATTATCAGCGGGGTAACACGTGTCGAGCCGATTCGAGTGTCACGGGGCTCATGTCTGTTTGACTAATTTCTAGCTTAAGCCAAGTTTTGGAGCTCTGCTCTCAAACGCAACTTGTGTCTTTCCCAGTTTTGAGCTATACCTCTAACAGAATATGTGTGGCTCCCGAGCTTTTATAAACCATGCATAAAGCTCAATATTTATTAGCTTAATAATTTCTCTGTGCAGTGCTTGTTATGGCCTGTTTTACATGCATCATGCTATTTTATGTTTACACTCAGTTTCTGTCTCTGGACATCCTTATTTGAATATTTCTTTGGGCACCTGCTTGATAATTTCGACAATTTGTGTGCACCCGAAACAAATTGCTAAAGTCTTCTAAGAATAAATCTCCTTCACTCACTCCCTCTTTTTTTTTTCCTTCATTTTCTCTACCATCTACAATGAAATCTAGAAACGTAGTATAAAGGATTAGCTAAATGTCAGCTACGATGATTATGGGGGGAAAATGTGAGAACCTTGTGTTTTTGGATCATTTCATTTCAGTTTTTGACATTGAAAACTTCTAAGTTCGCGACACGTGATTTGACGAGTGTTCAAATAAATCTAGTGCAAACAGAAATCCTAGTTGCATTGAAGAAGAAAAAACATCAGAGAGACCATCTTGGTTGAGTTATCACCAAGAATTTGTTTGCCTACACCTTGTCATAGGCCATGATTGATGCCTAACTTAGTGTCCAATCGTGACCTACCGCCCATCTCTAGTTCATCATGATTTAGACATGGAGTGGATAACTTGCTTGTATAGAGGTGGAGTTTCACCATCAAAACAGAAAATAATATCCGATAGATAAATATAAAAATATTGTGGGGCATTCTGCAAAACATATGCACATGCGTCATTAAAAGTGTACGCGTAAAATCAGTGTGATTTTAGTTTCAAAATATAACGTTGGTAGTTCACAATCACACGCAAACCTAAACTCATCGTAGATGTGTCTTGTACCCTACAATCAAAATCACTTGTCGCTCGTCACAGATTAACAAGTTAACACCAACGGCATTTGCTTATATTGTAAAGCTACAGATAAATACACCAGAAGAATGATGGTGTTGCACGGACTTATAACTCAAGTAGTTAAAAATATTTACATACGCATTTGAAGTCCTTTCAAATTTTCCCTCCCCAATATCACTTGTTACCAAAAAACAAAAATTGCCGGTGTTCGCATCTCTTGCCATGGGCATCCAAAACCCATCATCATCTTTCTCAAAAGTGCGATGCTAAATCATGTCATAATTTGATAGCTTCAAACAAAACACGTCACAAACCAAACATGATACATCAGGGACACTTGTTCCCATCGTTAAGTGCAAATGAAATAAATTTTGCTGCAAAATCTGTTGCCGTGGAAAAATAAAATAAACCATTGGTTTACATTACAGATGTTCCAGGGCAAGTGGACAGCAAGGGAGAGAGAAGATTTTTTAAGTCCTGTAATCCATTGAACATAGGAAAAGTGATGGGTGGAAGGGTTAAGTTCTTCTCTCCCCCTCCCCTCCTAAAAAAGGATTGGTTATTTGAATTTTATCTATATCATCACCGTTTTCTTATAATTTTATTTGTCTAATATCAAGATTCAAGTGACACCAAGAAAAATAAGGAGTTTGACCAACTTGGCTGAAAACAAAGGATAACCTTACAACCTAAAAGCATGGAATTTGGGTGCCTTGGATATGGTTAACCTTCTCTATAAACAAAGACCTTACAACAAACTAAATAATGAGGGAGCACTTAATTATTGCTTGGAAGACTCACCATTTACTAGTAAACTCCATATTTGCTTACTTCACGTGGGTTCACAAACTTTTGAATATAAATTATTTGGGTCTACAAACAGATCACATTTTCATTATGGCTTGTTTTACCTAATCAACATGACATGGCACTAGATTTGCACCTAAGACAATCTCCTTCTCCACACCTCTCTGCACTGCAAAGCCCACTAGAATCCAAACACAACTTTTTGCTGCACTAATCTCTTTACCAATCTACCTTTGGAATTCTATTAATTTTTCCATTCATCAACTTCATATCGTTAACTTCTCACTTAACTTATTAGCTTAGCAATTTCTACGAGCTTAAAATAAAATAACTATTTTTTTTTTTTTTTTGTACAAGCGATAGTTTAAACTACATACAGAAGGAGGATTTCTCTCATATACACACACTACCACTGTGCCATGGGAGTTTGAACATGAGGACCACTACTATGCAAGACAAGGCTCTTTTCCTCTGGGCTAGACACGCTGGCAATAACAATTTCTATTTAAAGGCACTTAGGATATGCAGAAGCCAAAAACTCCATAGCATAGTAAGTATGATGAGAAAAACAAAGCCTAATAAGAAAAATCTGATAACCGAAGGGCACTGGTAAAGAACCACAGCATAGTAAGGCTTCAAAACAACATTTCATGGCCCCAGGCTTCCAGCCAAAACATTTTTATCAATATCCACATAACTGGTCAAAGCAAAAGCATTTTTTTCTAAATTAGGCAACAAATTTTGTTTGAACATGGAATACAAAACATTTTTGGAGTTTGATCAACATCAACTATACTATGTAGTAAGCTTAGCACCAATCTCATTTGTGGCGTCTTGCTACCATTTCGGTTATTGAATATTGGCAAGCAAAATTGACCCAGACATTTTATTTATTTATTTTTTTTAAGTACATGCGATTGGGAAGGGGGGTTTACACACAAATATTCATTGGGGTGCCTGGGGATTTCGACCTTCTGCCCACATGAATGGAGGTGGAAGAGCTCAGCTACCCAACTCGCCAGACATGTTATACCATCCATCCAATCAGCAAACACACATATAGAAATTTCAGTTCATAGAAAATGTTCACAAACTGAGATAATTCACCCAAAAAAAAACCTACAAAAGCATCCTTTAGCAACACAAATTCTGTATATATAACCCTTTGATTAACCCCCAAAATATCCAATACCAGACAAAGAACAAACCTACATGTCTCTCATTCTCATATATCCCATTTACAAAACAAAGAAAACCTAATTTAAACCGGCAGTGAACCATTTTCCGTCCACCCACCGGTGATTGAATAAGCCCCTCAACCCAGAATGTACAAAGTTCTTGTCTTTTTTATAAAATATATATATATAAAAAAAACCCCTAAACCTTAAAACGACAGCGTTTAGAGCTCGACTTACCTGAAGAAACGTTTAGAAACCTCTCCACCTAGGGCTTGGAACAGGCACTGTCGGCGAGAGCGGAAGCTGAGGAAACCCTAATTGATTTGGGGACATCAAAGGGTACGGTGACCGCGGCGAATTCAAGCACCCAAACGGAAGCGGTGACGGAGGCAGAGTGAACTGCGGCTGTGACGCTATCGCCGTCGCCGGCGGGTGGTGCTGACTCGCCGCGGGAAGCATCCCCTGCTGCGAAGGCGCAGCCTGGCGCGTCTGC